TGAGGGTATTGTTCAACATGTTGACGAGTATGACGATGACGATGACGACGATGATGTTGATGATGGGAGACGATGATGATGTTGGTTGTGGTGTTGATGACGATGATGGTGATGACCATGATGATTCTGGTGATGGTGGGAGCCCCATTTGAAAATGTGCGCGGCGCGGAGGCGAATGTGCGCGGCGCCAGGGCGAGAGCCCCATTTTGAAAATGGACCGCTTTCCATCAGTGGAACTGTGGCACACTGTCAAGTTGAGGATCAGAAATGGCGATGATGTCTCAGGCGAAACGCTGGGGTCGTCTGCCGGGCCGCCCTTCATCCGTGCAACTGCTGCAAACTTTTAAGCTTCAAAATCATAAATGGGGAGGAGTTCTCCGACGAGTGGCCCGCCTTAAGCATGCACGGAGCGGGGTCCGCTCTGCAGCGGGGGAGGGGGGCTGGGCTGCAGGGAGGGAAGGGCGGTCCGCTGTGCAGGGCGGGGGGGTCCGCTCTGGGAGGAGGGGGGGGCTGCAGGAGGGCGGGTCTGCTCTGCAGAGGGGGGGGGAGCAGGGGAGGAGGGGGGATCCGCTCTGCAGGGGGGGGGGGGGGGCTGCAGGGAGGAGGTCCGCTCTGCAGGGGGGGGGGTGCTCTGCAGGGGGGGGTGCAGGGGGGGGGGGTCGCTCTGCAGTGGGGCGGGGGGGCTGCAGGGGCGGGGGTCCGCTCTGCAGGGGGGGGGGGGGGCTGGGCTGCAGGAAGGGGGAGGGGGCGTTCTGCAGGGGATGGGGGGTCCGCTCTGGGAGGGGGGGGGGAAGCACTGAATTAGGTCGGAATTAGGTCGGAAATGAGGTCCCCCCCCCCCCCCCCCCGCAGAGCGAGGCTTGAGCGAGCTCAAGCCCACGCTCTCAGAAACTCACACGCCGGATCGGCGGATTCCTGTGAATGAGCGTGACCGTTGCGCCCTGACATTCCAAACTCGTCACAGAACGCAAATCCTGGTATTTCAACGCCGTGGATCAACGTGACTGTTGCGTCCTGACATTCTCCATGTCGGGCCAGATCACCCATCTTGCTATATTGGACCGTACGAACCCTTGGATGCTCTGCACACTTGAAATGTGTGTGCGCGGCGCGAAGACGAGAGACACATGTTGAAACGGAGGCGCCGTCAACGTTCGAAATAGTTGCAAACTGCTAAGATGAACATGCGCGGCGCTGAGGCTAGAGCCACGTCATGTTGAACACCACCCGCCCTCCATCCTTGAAGATGCTGCGAAATTGAGTGTGCGCGGCGCCAAGGCGAGAGCAACATGTTGAACACCAGCCGCTCTCCATCCTTGAAGCCGTTACAAATTTCAAGCTCCAGGATCTCAACTGGCGAGAGAGCATCAGGCGAAACGCCCCGCCCGCCCTACCGACACGCCTGGAGGCGCAACATGGAGGAGCTAGTTCAGCAAAAGGGAGAAATGTGAAGGAGGCGGAGGAGGAGCAGCAGCAGCAGCAGCAACAGCAGGCGGACGAGGAGGAGGGGAGGGAGGAGGAGGAGTAGGAGGAGGAGGAGGAGGAGGGAAGAGGAAGGAGGAGGAGGAGGAGGAGGAGGAGGAGGAGGAGGACCAGTGGAAAACCAAGAGTCATCAACGATGTTGGAATTAATCCTCCCTCCAAGCTCCCTCTTCATAGGCCCCCACAGTGGAAGACAAGCGTTTGAAGATCCTGGAACACGCCAAAACATTGCTCGCGGGATTTCAACGTTACGTATCAACCTGACTGCTGCGTCTTGATGATCCGGAATCGTGCCAGAGCGCCATTTTTGGAACTTCAACACCGCGAATCAACATAATTGCTGCACCATCATAATCCTGAATCGTTCCAAAACGCCAATTATGGTACGTTGACCATGGGAATCCGTGAAACTCTTGCAAATGTTTAAAACGAATGTGCGCGGCGCTAAGGCGAAAGCCACATTTTGAAAAGGAACCGTCCTCAGTCCGTGAAACTCTTGCAAATGTTTAAAACGAATGTGCGCGGCGGTAAGGCGAGAGCCGCATGCTGAAAACGACCTGCCCTCAATTCGTGAAGCCCTTGCAAATGTTTAAAGCGAATGTGCGCGGCGCTAAGGCGAGAGCCACAGTTTGAAAAGGAGCCGCCCTCAATCCGTGAAGCTCTTACAAGCTTTTAAAACGAACGTGCGCAGCGCTACTGCGAGAGCCACATGTTGAAAACGATCCGCCCTCAATCCGTAAAGCTCTCGCGAATGTTTAACGCGAATGTGCGCGGCGCTAAGGCGAGAGCCACAATTTGAAAACCACCTGCCCTCCATCCGTGAAACTCTTGCAAATGTCTAAAACGAATGCGCGCGGCGCTTAGGCGAGAGCCACATGTTGAAAACCACCCGCCCTCCATCTGTGAAACCGTTGTCACTTCTCAGACTTCAGAATCATAAATGGTGAGGAAGTCTCAGGCGACACGCCCGGCCCGCCCTAAAAATTGACCTCGGGGTGCGACAGGGAGGAGTTATCTATAAGGTGAAGGAATGGAGGAGGAGGAGGAGGAAGAGGAGGAGGAGGAGGGGAAAAAGGAGGAGGAAGAGGAGGAGGAGGAGGAGGAGGAGGAGGAGGAGGGGGAGGAGGAGGGGAAGGAGGAGGAGGAGGACGAGGAGGAGGAGGAGGAGGAGGAGGAGGAGGACGAGGAGGAGGAGGAGGTGGAGGAGGAAGAGGAGGAGAAGGAGGAATGGAGGAATGGAGGAATACAGGAATGGAGGAATGGAGGAATGGAGGAGGAGCGGCAGCAGCACCTCTGGATACGTTTGCGCGTTCGGTCGGCGCCCGATGCTGCGTGCGAGGCGCTGTCCCGCGAGGCGCCAGGGCTGAGACACCCTCCTGGCGACCCCCCCCCTGGGGTGCCGAAGCGAGCGCCTCGCTGGAGACATCCTCACTCTCTGTTCTGAGAGCGCCGAAGTCTCAAGCCACCAAGCAGGCAGACCGCCTGAGACATCCCCCCACCATTTCGGCGCGAATGGGGCCCCGTGAAATGCCCTCCTGGCGGCTCCCCCCAACTGGGGTGCTGGAGCCCGCGCCTCGCTGGAGTATGCTGGAGTCACCCTCACAGGTTGAGGGCGAGGCGGGCCTGAGTGCGAGTGGTCTGTGCGAGTGAGTCTGGGTGTGAATGGCTCTGAGTGTGTTCATGTCTGAGTATGAGAGTCTGCGTGTAAGTGTGTGTGAGTCCGAGCGTCTCTGAGTGCGAGTGAGCTTGCGTGTTGAGTCCGAGTATGAGGGAATCTGAGTGCGAGCGCGACTGGGGACGCGTTGTCAGAGTGTGAGCGAGTCTGATCATGAGTAGTGACCTGAGTGTGATGACAGGGAGGGGAGGAAGAAGAAGAAGAAGAAGAAGAAGAAGAAGAAGTGGAGGAGTAGGAGGTGGAAGAGGAGGACCTGTGTAAACCCAATATTCACCAATGATGTCGGAAAACACCCTCCCTCCAAGTTCCCTCTTCATAGGCCCCATACAAGGGTTCATTTTCACTGAGGGAAATGCCCCGTTGGGGGACAACAGTGCAACCATCCTGAAGCGTGCCCAAACACCATTCTCAGGACTTCTGCGACTGTGGCGTCTCAAATATCCTGAACCGTGCCAGAATACCGTTCCTGGGATTATAACACACCGTATCGACGCAGCTGTTGCACCCTGGCAATCCTCAGTCGTTCAAAGACACCATTTCTGGTGCGTTAACCATGGGAACCAATACAAGTCTTGCCACCGGTGGAAACGAATGTGCGTGGCGCTAGGGCGAGAGCCACATTTTGAAAAGGTACCGCCCTCAATCCATGAAGCTCCCGCAACTGAAACAATACGAATGTGCGCGGCGCTAGGGCGAAAGCCACATTTCAAAAACGGCCCGCCCTCAATCCGTGACATGATTGTAATTGTCTAGGACCACTGTGCGCGGCGCTAAGGCGAGAGCCACATTTTGGAAGCGGCCCGCCCTCCATGTGTGAAATTGTTGCCAGCTTTCAAGCTTTAGGCTCATAGATGATAAGGAAGTCTCAGGCGAAACGCCAGGCCCACCCTTCGACTGGCCTCGGGGTGCGGCAGGGAGGAGTTACTCATAAGGAACAGGAGCGGAGGAGGAGGAGGAGGAGGAGGAGGAGGAGAGTGTTTGAAGGTGTGTGAAGGGAGTCGTCGGAGTCATGAGAGAGCATGAGTGTGACCGAGTCAGAGTGTGAGCGAGTCTGCGTATAAGTGAATCTGAGCGAGGAAGAGGAAGAGTGGGGGCAGAGGGGGTGTGAGGTGGGAGTCGGAGACGTCCGAGTAGTAACAACAACCCCATCTAAGGATATGGACAACAGCACTAACCCTTGGGCCTCAATCCCTGGATACCCTGTCTAGGATCTGATGTTGCTTCCTGATGAGCGGTTGGTCCGCACGAGGACGGGTCAAATCTCGGATCTGCTGGCAGATGCGCGACTGGAGGGTGAGGTGGAGGAGGAGAGCATGCATTCTCGAGCAGATGCCGTGGCTTCGGGAGACCTCAGACCATCAGGCGAGCGAGCCAGGAGGAGGGGCAGGGGAGAGGACGAGAAGATGGAGGTGGAGGAGGTGGAGGCGGAGGAGATGGAGGGAGGTGGAGGAGGAGGAGGAGGAGGAGGAGGAGATGGATGATGATGATGATGATGTGATGATGATGATGATGATGATGATGATGATGATGATGATGATGATGATGATGATGATGATGATGATGATGATGATGATGATGATGATGATGATGATGATGATGATGATGATGATGATGATGATGATGATGATGATGAGGAGGATGGAGGAGGAGGAGGAGGAGGAGGAGGGGAAGGAGGAGGAGGAGGAGGATGAGGAGGAGGAGGAGGAGGAAGAGAAGGAAGAGGAAGAGGAGGAGGAGGAGGAGGAGGAGGAGGAGGAGGAGGAGGAGGAGGAGGTGGACGGGGAGGGAGGTGGGGGATTTGGGCCAGCGCAGCGGAGGCGATAGAGAGCGAGCGGCCCGCCAGGAAGCCGTGCAGGCCCGCGTCCTGCGCTCTGGTGCGAGCCCAGGAGATCTCGACCCCGAGCCTGGTTCCCCTGCGTCTGGCTCGCCTTCGTCCTCCTCCTGCTCCTCCTCCTCCTCCTCCTCCTCTCCTCCCTCTCCTCCTCCTCCTCCTCCTCCTCCCCTCCTCTCCCTCCTCTCTCCCTCCTTCCTCCTCCTCCTCCTCCCTCCTGCTCCTCCTCCTGCTCTCCTCTCCTCCTCCTTCTGCCTCCTCCGTGTGCGACCCGCCCTTGTCGCTCACCTCGGGGGGCCCGCGGCATGGCTCCTCCTCCTCCTCCTTCTCCTCCCCTCCTCCTCCTCCTCCTCCTCCTCCTCCTCCTCCTCCTCCTCCTCCTCCTCCTCCCCCCTCCTCCGAGCTATGCTTCGGCCGCTTCCTCGCCTTTGTCCTTGTCCTCCTTCCTCGCTACGGTCGAGAACTTTTGATCGGCATGTCGCTCCGCCGGTTCTGGCCCACCACGCCCTGTCACGACACCAGCTACGTCCCAGTCCCCAGGCGTAAACGACTCGAATTCCAAGCTTCCGGCCCCGCGGAGCGGAGCGACACGCTATCAGCTCGCAGGGCACAGCGTGTCGCCGGGGCTGCCGCCGCAACGCGCTAGGCAAACGTTCCTGAGCTTGTCCCTGGTCGCAGTCGATCCTTCCCACATGTACTATTTGTTGGGGGACGGGTGGTGGGTGCGTGAGGACACATGGATCGGCTTTGCTCCTGTCGGAGCGAAGTCAGGAGCATTGCAAGCACAAGACATGTAGGGTAGAAGGGGTGGACGAGGGGAGGCTTGCTTGGCAGCGCCCAGACATACTTATACTATGCGCGCGTCGGCCCCACAGGGCCGACATGGGCCGACGGGCGCATACATATATATATATATATAGAATCAAAAGATAGGGCCGACGGGCGCCGAGCGGGCCTTGGGCCTCTCGAGAAATCAATGGTTTTGGCCTCTTAGGGCCGTCCTGGTGGTCCTCTCGGAGGCCTCTTGGGCCGCTTTGGAAACCTCTTGGGCCGTCTCGGATGATCTTGAGGCCATCGTGGGCAATCTTGGGGGCCCTCTCGGCCCGTCATGGAGACATATTGGGACCATCTTGGGCGTTCTTGGGGCCATCGTAGCTGTCTTGGGGCCATCGTTCTTGGCCGTCTGAGAGGCCATCGTGGGGCCGTGAAGACCGACGACCTGGGAATTCTGCGGGCCCTTGTGGGGCGGAAAGCAGACGAGAGGCCTCTCTTCTATGGGTCTCTCGGGTGGCCGGCGCTCTCGGCCAAGACCCCATTATCCAGGCCTCCCAGATGGGGTCGGAGTAGATGGGGTCGGAGGATCGCGCCGCATCGGCGATGCGGCTCGATGTGGAGCCCGATTTTCTCCACGCCAGCGTCGCCGATGCGTCGCCCACGTCGCCGATACATCGCCGATGCATCGCTGATGCTGCGCGATCCTCCGACCCCAGCTACTCGGACCCCATTTGGGAGGCCTCTGCATCAGAAACTCTCAGGCACGACCAAACGGGACCTCACAGTCCAGTGCGGTGTGCACCCCTGTGGCAGGCGCAGGGGGGCGACGGACGGAGACGAGCCTGCGGCGAGTCACCGCCGCCGCCCCTGCCTTCTTGGAAAGGCCCCTGCGGCCAGACCTTGGGTCGAGGTCTGGCCAAGCTATTGGACGACGTGCTCCCCCAGCCGTAGTGGAACCCCGTGGGGAGCGCTGTGGAGGGGAAGAGAAGGGAGGGGGAGAGGGAGGGGGGCAGGGAGGGGGGGAGAGGGGAAGGCGGAGAAGGAGGAGGAGAGGGGAGAGAAAGGAGGGGGAGAGGCAGGCGGAGAAGAAGGGGGGAGAGAAAGGAGGGGGGCCCGCTTTAGGGCCGCCTTGGAGGTCTCTGGGGCCGTCTTGAAGGCCATCTTGGGCTGTCTTGGGGCCCTCTTGGGCTGTCTTGCGGGTCTCTTGGGCCGTCTTGGGGCGATCTTGGGTGTCGATGTGCCCGTCTTAAAGCGTTAGAAGCCCGAAACGGCGAGAACGCTAAAACTATTGGAAAACCTACGGCGCATTAATTATTTTGGCCTCCTAGAGGTCCTCCTGGGGCCTGTTGGGGACCTTTGGAGACCTCTTTGGGGCCTGTCAGGGGCCTCTTGGCCTTCGGAGGACGTCTTGGGCCCTCCCAGGGCAGTCGTGGGTCCTTGGCCGCTTTAGGGCCGTCTTGGAGGTCTCTGGGGCCGTCTTCGGGGGCCTCTTGGGCTGTCGCGGGGCCCTCTTGAACCGTCTTGCGGGCCCCTTTGGGGGGTGCCCGTCTTGGAGCGGCGGATGTCCGAAAAGGCGAGAAAGCTTAAATCATCGAAAATTGCTAGACACATGCATGACTTTGGCCGCCCGGAGGTCCTCTCGGAGCCCTCCTATGGCGTCTACGAGGCCTCTTGGGCCGTCTGGACGGCATCTTGGGCAGTGGCCATCGTGGAGGCATCTTGGGGCGTTTTGGACCATCTCGGGCGAACTTGGAGGCCATCTTGGGCCATCCTTCCTTGCCGTCTTGCACCATCCAGGGGCCGTCTTGGACGGGAAAAGCCATGCCAGGTCGATTTTCCAGGTGGCCGGCGGGTTGGGCCGAAGCCCACGGGGAGTTCTTCAGAAACGAACCCAAGCCCCTCAGAGGTTCAGTACGCCGTGCGTGCACCCCTGATGAATCACCAGGGGGCGGCGGATCGAAGACGCCTACGGCGAATCACCGCCGCCCCCTGCCCTTCAGGATATACCTATGTGGCCAAACGTTGGGGCAAAGTTTGGCCACGCTATTGGACTATGCGTTCACGCAGCCGTTGTGGAAGCCCGTCGGGGAACACGTGGGGGAGGAATAAGCGGATGAGGAGTAGGGGAACAAAGGAGGATGTGGAGAAGGATGCGGAGACTTCTTGGGAGCTTCTTGGGTCATCATCTGGGCCTCCTGGGAGCTTCCTTAGGGCCTCTTTCAGGCCTCTTGGAGGGGTCTGGGCTCTTTGGCAGTCTTACAGCGTTCCTGGCCCGTCTGACGCCGTCTGAGGAGCCTCCCTGGGCCGTCTTGGGACCCTCTTGGGGCGCTTCAGGACGTCTTGAAAGCAATATTCGGCGTCTTGGAGGCCTCTTGGGCCGACTTGGGGCCCTTTGGGGGGCCGTCTTGGGAGCCTCTTAGGCCGTCGTGGGGAAGGCCGTTTCGAATCAAATGCCAAAATCTGTCAAAAGCCATAGGAATATCAATCATTTTGGCCTCACTGGGCCTTCCTTGAGGACTGGAGGCTTCTTAGGCCGTCTTGGAGGCCTCTCGGGAGCTGCTTGGGCCGTTACTGGGCCATCTCGAGTCCATCTTAGGCCGTCGTGAGGGCATCTTGGGCCGTCTTGGCCACATTTGTCGGTCACCTTGGGCTCTCTCAGGGCCATCTTGGCCGTCTGGGGGGCCATCTTGGCCGTCTTGGAGGTCATCTTGAGGCCATCTTGAGCGAAACATCAGACGGGAGGTGCGTTTTCCGGGTGGCCGGCGGGCTGGGCCGAAGTCCCACGGGGAGTTCTTTAGAAAGGAACGAAGCATTTGCCAGACATTTGGCACGCCGTGCAGCCTTGTGGCAAGCCACAGTGGCGGATCGAAGACGCCTACGGCGAATCACCGCCGCCCTCTGCCTTTGTGGAAGCGCCTATGTGGCCGACAGCTGGGCTAGAGCCTGGCCAAGCTAGCGGGCCAGTTGTTCCCCGAGTCGGTTTGGAGAGCCTTCGGGGTACGCGTGGGTGAGCGACAGGTTTGAAAGCGCTCATGTGTCCGAGCGTTGTGGCAAGAGCTCTGCCAAGCTGTCGGACCATGTGTTCCCCCCACCGTTGTGGAAACCCTTCGAGGAACACTTCTGGGAAGATGGCGGGGAAGATCAGGAGGAGGAGAAGGAGGAGGAGGAGGAGGAGAAGGACAGAGGAGGAGAAGGATGAGGAACATAAGGAGGAGGAGATGAGGAGGAGGAGGAGGAGGAGTCTTGGGCGTCTTGGAGGCCTCTTGGGCCGTCTTGAGGGCCTCTTAGGGCCGTCTTGGGCCTCTTGGGCGATCTTTTGGGGGCATTTGGGCCGTCTCGGGCCGTCGGAAGGCAAAAAAAAACAAATGCCACAATCCTTCAAAAACTCATGGGAATTCAATGATTTTGGCCTTCTCGGGCCTTCCTGTATACCTTTTTGGAGGTTCCTTGGGCAGTTACTGGGCAATCTTAGGGCCATCTTCGGCCGTCTTGGTGGGCTCCTGGCCCGCCTGACGCCGTCGGGAGCCGTTTGGGGGGCCTCTCTGGGCCGACTTGGGGCCCTCTTGGGATGTTCCAGGGCCGTCTTGGAGGCCATCTTGGGCGTCTTAAAGGCCTCCTGGGCCGTCTCGGGGGCCTCTTGGGGCCGTCTTGGGGGCCTCTTTGGTCGTTCTGGGGGCATCTTGGAGGCCTCTTGGGCGATCTTTGGGCGATCTTTGGGGGCTCTTGGGCCGTCTCGGGCCGTCGGAAGGCCGAAAAGAAGCAAATGCCCAAATCCTTCAACAACCTCAGGAAAATCAGTGTTGTTGGCCTTTTCGGGCCTTCCTGGAGGCCCTCTTGGAGGCCTCTTGGACCGTCTTGGGCCAGCTTCGAGCCAACTTCGGCCATCTTGGTGGGCTCCTGGCCCGTCTGACGCCGTCGGAAGCCGTTTGGGGGGCCTCTCTGGGCCGATTTGGGGCTCTCTTGGGATGTTCCAGGGCCATCTTAGAGGCCATCTTGGGCGTCTTGGAAGCCTCTTGGGTCGTCTTTGTGCCCTCTTGGCGCCGTCTTGGGGGCCTCTTGGGCAGTCCTGAGGCCAACTTGGAGGCCTCATGGGCGCTCTGGGGGCGATCTTGGGGGCCTCTTGGGCCGTCTTGGGTCGTCGGAAAGCCGAAAAGGAGCAAATACGAAAAACTGTTAAAAACCTAACGCACATCAATGTTTTTAGCCTCGTCGGGCCCTCGGAGGACCTCTTGGAGGCCTCTTGGGCCGTCTTGGAGGCCTCTTGGGCACGTCTTGGGCCGT